ACCCTAAATTTAATTTCTATAGCCACACCACCACTGCCCTTTACCGTCGTTGTTGCCGTCAATTGAACCTACCCCCAACTACGCCTCCACTAACGACCACTCACGCAACGAACAACCACCGATGGCGCGATTTAAATCAATTAACAACATGACATTTGGGGAAATAATCACGACATTTGTGCGATCCGACTGCGTGAGCGACGACAAGGACGACGTTAGTTGAGGTGGTGGTGGCAGCGACATCGATGCCTTCAACGACATCGATCGTGGTTAGGATTTGGGGATTTAGGATTAAGATTATGTAACACCCGCAACCCGTACCCGACCCGGATACGAGTCTGAGGTGTCACATTGACTTTTCAAACTTTGACTCTTAAAGAAAATCAAGGAAATTTTAAAACTTTCGTTAAATAAAAGTTGTTAACTTACATAAGTTGACCAAAACAATACAAACTTGATCAGAGCATTCGTAACCAACACATTTCTTACATGCCAACACACTATATACAACAAAATACATACTTTATCCGTTACTTCTGATCTGATCTTCTAGTAGTGAAGCTGTCCTTGCCACTCTTATTTCTGCTCTTTTTGTTTCTTGGTACCTATGTGTAAATCACTTACACGCTAAGTCATAAACTTAATGAGGCATAATAATAAACACATAATAATAAAATCATGAACATGTACTACCATCAATCTATTATGACATTGCAATGTACGTGTATGTACCACACTGTAATATATATAAATATGATATGCATAAATGAACTTTAACTTCTTATAAAAAAAATTCATTTTATTTATCTTTGAATGCTCATGTACATTATTGAGAATAGGAGGTATGTGAGTACACTGAGGTTGTGCACAATGTTGTCACCACAGCTCGAATAAATTTCTACTAGGGGCACTGAATATTTGTCCCGGAAGACCACTATGTCCTGAATGACCACTGATAATCTCTCAACTCTTGACATGCCAACTATACCACTAGATCTCATATCACATAACATGGGCATTATAATTTATAATAGTTCACACCACTTGTATCATATAAACATGTAATCATGTAGTTCATTTCCACATATCTTGCCACATATGAATGTATTCACACCAATCATGATCACATAAAATACCATGTGACACATATTCTCATTTTCATGTACTCATATGATAAAATGCATTTTAGTCATATATTCTATGATATTTTCCTCATATTTGAATAACTAAGATTGATTAAATAATGGATTTTGATTATATTTCGTATTTTGTGGATTAGGTTAAAGATTTGGATTAAACAAGTTAAAAATCCAATGAATAGAACGATCTTCACAAAATTCCCAAATTAAGGAAGAAAAATCGGAATTCAAGAAGTTGACAAGACCAGAAGAGGTTTTCGCATAAGGTGTGGGCATGACTTATTCATTCTGAGCTATCGCAGAAGAGGTCTTCATTTAAGGCGTAGGCACGCCTTGCTAGTCCGTATAAAACATTTTAGGAGTCACTTCTTACTATAGTTACTCTGTCACTGGCTCATCGCAAGCCAATGTTTGTTCTATAAAAATAAGTACAAATTAGATTTGCACTCACCTAGATCTCTTTGTCTTTTCCCGAATCGATCCTCCTCATCAATTGTTCCGGAACTTGTTTAGGCTCAAAATATACATAAATATAATTTTCAAGGCAATTATAAGAAGCCTTAACCATATAATTCAATACTAATAACTTGGCCTAACTTAATAAACCAAAATTAATTTTTCCCTTTAGGAGTGTATCAGTACACTACGGGTGTATCGGTACCCAAATTAGCTTCAAAATTCACAGGTATATGTACACTCCTTAATGTATCGATACACTATGAAGTTGTTCTTCAAATTTGATCTTAGTGTATCAGTACCTATTCATAGTGTATCGATACACCCTGCCACAAACATACTTTTTTCACCCGAAAATTCATCATATAATCTCCTGTCATACCACCAAACTCAACTACAACCATTTTTATTAACGTATATCATTCCAACACCTTATTATCTCCCATAACTCATCCAAATTCTTAAAACTAGGAATCTTATTAAATTTTTCATGTAATCCAAACTTTGATTTAACACTTATAACTTCTTATTCACACCTATGACAAGTCAATTTCAGCTTCTACATTCATTTATACATCTTTATTCAAAATTTCACTTATCCATTTTTATCTTTAATCCTTCATAACTTACAAATCTTTGAATTTTTATGACCTTTTTCATCTCCATCATGTTTCCTAAGTCTTCCTTAACCAAAACCACACTTGAATTTTAAGGATTAACCAAAAGAAATCCAACTTACCTTGGCTTGGGTGCTTCACGTTGGAGAAGAAAAAGAAGATGAGAGAATTGTCTGGAAACCTTTGTTTCCCAAAACATGCTCCACATGGGTTATAAAATAATCCCAAATAATATTTAATTATTTTCCTTATTCAATGACTCCTTTACCCCTTCTTCTTCCTTCATTTGCTAATTCATCCTACACCAAATATTTCAGTTAAATCATTGAATTTTTTAATTTATCTAATTTAGTCACTGAAATTTAAAATCTAACACTTTGGTCACTAACCCAATATTGAAGATGTTGTATATTAGGGATTTGAGGTTGATTTTAAAGATTTTTAGGGATTGCGACTTTTTTTAATTTTAGAAAAAATGAGAGTTTTTAAATAAATATAACAATATTTTAAAACAAGAGGAAACTCCAAAAAAACGTGAGCTATGGTGAGCTTCCTTGAACCACTGTGAATTGCCTTAGCAAGCTAGCTTCTCTCAAAGACCTAGCTTGCTAGCCCTTTAAATATTGACTATGGAGGTCACCACGAAAGAAGGAAGAAAAGGGAAAAATAAAAGTTTTGTGCAACCACCTTTTCTTTTCTCCTTTATCTCATATTTCCAAAAGCTCTCTTCATTTAAGGTTTCTTTAACTATTTATACTAGGGAATTTTTTAGGGTTTTTTACCTAAAAATTCCCTTTATACCTTATGATATCACTTCCTTCACGTGAGGGGTAGGTTAGGCTGGCATGTGGTCCCAAAAAGGACAGCTTGGCAAGACATTCACGTGTGGCTTGGATAACATAGCAGCAAAATATAAGTCTTTTTGTCTTTTTCTGAGCCCATAATTATCTCCAAAATATTATAGCATTTCTCCATCTCCATCAGCTTCAGCAGTTCTCCACATCTCCTTTAGCTACGTTCACCTGCACATCATCAGCGAAACGAGACATTTCCCTTCAAGCAATATCAGTTTTGTCATTAAAATGCTACTGTAAAACATAACCACCACATAACTATATGAACCTAAATGCAATGGCATGCCTGAATTATAGCCTTTTTACGGGGTTATCATTCTCTAATGACTCCTCCATATGTTGTGTTTTCGTTTTTATAAAAATATTATTAATGAGTTACCTTAAAATATTTTTTATATTTTTATTATAGTTTAAGTTGATATATTTTATATATGTGTAAATATAGTTTAAATTCTATATTTTTAATTTACAAAATAATGTATATAATGGACATTTTATCTTTTCAAATTCACTTTTTAACAACAATCCTAAACGGTCAAATTTTAAACTGCACTTTTAAACAACACTTTTAAAAGTTATTTTTTACTACACTTTTAAAAGTCACTTTTCAAAAGCCTTGCTAAACTGACCCTAAGTTTATGTTTTCTCTGAATTAAATAAGGGTAAATTACACTTTTACTTTGTAAACTATTAATTTTAGTTCGTTTTAATATCTAAAATTTATTTTTTTTCAAAATCGTATCTAATATTTAGTTTTTTTTAGTACCTCGTTGTTACAAACTTAACGGATGATTTGCATGTGACATATTTTTTTATGAACAAATTTATATCATTATTCACTCATCTATCTTCTCACTCTTATTTTTGTCACTAAAGTTTATTTTTTTTACTTAATTAGTTAATTTTTAAATTAATCCTAATTTAATCACTCTAGTTTTCAAATTTATTTATTTTATTTTTAATTATATATATATAATAATAATAATAATAAATGTCATGTCACAAAAATTAATTATAAAATAAATTAGAGTGATTAAAATAACAGTAATTTGAAAGTTGAATAGTTAAATTTAATTTTTTTAAACTTTAGTACCAAAATAAGAGTAAAAAGATAATTGAGTGATGAATAATGTAACTTACTCATAAAAATATAATGTGGTGAAATTTTTAAAAGTAATTTATTGAAATAAAATAAAAACTAAATGATATGTATGATTTTAAAAAAATTAAATGTTTAAGTATTAAAACTTACTAAAATTAATAATTTAAATACTAAAAAAATCATAATATATCCATTAAATAATACAAATTGATCGGCTATATCACGAAGAACGGCGTAGAATGACTAAAAAAATCCAGATCATATCCAACTTTTTTCCTTATGTTATTAACAAGAAGTCAATGCTAATAATTGGCAGAAAATGGGATTGATAAGCACAAATGGGAACATTTGAATTGTATTTTTAAACAACGTTTTCGGTTTTCCCATTGCTTTATGATGTCTGGAGTGTGAAATCGCATCATCCGCCATTGTCGGTTCGTGTTTTGTTTCGACATGAAAAAAAATTGAAGTTAAGGAATTAATTTACTGCATAATAAAAAAGGCTTAAGGAATCAATGATTCATCAAAGGTTTATTCTGTATAATGTTCATTTTCAATTGGAAAATGAGCATTCTTTTGACTATGTTCCTAAATCTAGCCTAAAATGTCAAATTTCTAGTCTTGAAAAAATGCATTAAACCAAAAAGAGAATTGTTAATCTGATCATCACAAAAAACAACAAAAAGGAATAGACTTTGTTAACTAAATAGATTTTGATCCCCTCAAGCTGTGGAAACGAACAGAAATACATGTAAAATGTCTATAAAATTTTTGCATTTAACCATTTTCACATCCGGAAGCACAGCATCATGTGCAGTAACACCAGCATCATCAATGTATTTATTTCAAAGCAACCATATTAAGTTTCCTTACTCCGTCTCTATTTAAGGATCGTAGCCTTCCCATCACCTCTCCAGATCTTTCTCTCTATACAAAGTTTCAGAATTCAGAATAAGCTGAGAAACATCTTTACTTTCAATCAATAAAGGTACAACTTTTTCCTCCATTTTAACATTGTGGGTATTGTTTGGTCATTTTGAATTTCTCAATTCTTCTGCTGAAAAGTGTTTATCAGTTGCAGTTTTTCAATGGGTGTTCTTCAAAAGTGGGTTTGGGAAGGTTTTAATAGGCAATTGCTTTTAAGATGACTTGGGTAGTTTAGTTGTTTGTGGTTTTGTTTATTGGTTGAGGTAATGATATCATTGTTCAGCAAGTTTTCATCTTTTTTTACGTTGATTTTTGTTATAATAATAAAATGACAACTTTTTGTATTCAATGGAATTGGAAAAGGGGGGGGGGACAAAATCATGGATTTAAGTTGTTTTTCGGATCATGAAAACAATTGGTATTTAGTTTATTCATTTCTGGCGTTTTCAATATAATTAATGAATCTTTTCAATGATTCTTTGAAGCTAAAATGTGTGAGAATTTTTAACTATCTATAACCAGTGCTTGTTTCTCCATGAGGAATGCTTTGACATGCTATTGCCTTTGATGTAGGGGACTGAACTAATTTGCTGCTCGGTATACTCATCAGTTCATGATGGAGTTGCTTACTTCGATTGGCTGTTATTTTTGGAGTCCTTCGAGAATTTTTCGGTTATGGATATTTCTGGTACTTGTGTTCCAATATAGTAAAGCAGTGCTCTCGGATTTTGACTATTTGATTGGACTCGGAAGCTATGACATTACTGGACCAGCAGCCGATGTTAACATGATGGGATACGCTAATGCAGAACAAATTGCCTCAGGGATTCACTTCAGGCTGCGAGCTCGCTCGTTTATTGTGGCAGAGCCACAGGGGAAGAGAGTTGTATTTGTTAATCTCGATGCTTGCATGGCTTCACAATTAGTGACAATTAAAGTGCTCGAGAGATTGAAAGCAAGGTAGTTATTATCACAAATATCTTAAGCGTTAAGATCCTCCTTTTGTTTTAACGTATAAAAGGTTTAATCATCTTTGCATCACGTCACTTGTCATCAAAGAAGCCGAACATAGGCGTAAACCCGCATCTTTCGAAACTTGGATATGGTATTCTTATCTGACATTTTTCTTGTTGCTGTTTCAACTTAGGTAAAGACAGAACCGAAGATACCAAAGCCTTTGAAATAGATTATTGCATACCTGTTAACGGGTTTGTGTTCAACTGTTGTCTATACATGCAGATATGGGGACATATATACTGAACAGAATGTAGCTATCAGTGGTATTCATACGCATGCCGGTCCGGGAGGATATCTCCAATATGTGACATATCTTGTGACATCCTTGGGATTCGTTCGTCAGTCATTCGATGCCCTGGTAGATGGTATCGAAAAGAGTATTATACAAGCTCATGAAAATCTTCGACCCGGATCTATTTTTGTGAACAAGGGTAGGGAACTGGAAATCATTCACTTGCTACATTCTATCCTTATTTTTAGGTGTTATCAAAATAAAATGAAGGGAAAATATTCCTTGATTCATGTTATTTGTTCTCAATGATTCCGGGTTTTGAACAGGAGAACTACTAGATGCTGGTGTAAACCGTAGCCCCAGTGCCTATCTCAATAACCCTGCATCTGAACGAAGCAAATATAACTATGATGTTGATAAAGAAATGACCCTTCTGAAGTTTGTCGACGACCAGTGGGGTCCAGTGGGTAGTTTCAACTGGTTTGCAACTCACGGAACGTCAATGAGTCGTACAAACTCACTGATCAGTGGGGATAACAAAGGTGCCGCAGCAAGATTTATGGAAGACTGGTTTGAGCAAAATGCTACTAAAAGTTTAGACACTAATGAAGTGGGCTCTGATGGATTACCTAGAAGAGTCTCAAACATTATCCCTAACACTCATGATAATCGTAAGTTTTTAGCTTTTATTTCATGCACTATGCAGTGATGTTAAAAATAAATAGAAAGAGCAAATGGAAATCTAGTAGCTGTAGTTGATAGATCCATAATATGCAGTTCGAACTCCTTGATGTGTTGTTTCTATATGCAATATTTCTTTATAATATCATGTTTATGCAGACCAAGAGTTGCTGGAGATTGCTGCGTCATTCCGCTCTTCTCCTGGTAGGCCTGCAACCCGGAATCTGAGTGTTGCTAAACGTGTCAGAGGCACTCTTAGACAGGCTGATAAGCCCAGATTTGTATCTGCATTTTGCCAAACAAATTGCGGTGATGTTAGCCCCAATGTACTCGGAGCATTTTGCACCGACACTGGTCTTCCTTGTGATTTCAATCACAGCACATGTGGTGGAAAGAATGAACTGTGCTACGGACAAGGACCTGGGTACTTCCTCTTCCTGATATGCACTTTTTCTCACATGTACTAGTTTTGTCAGAAGACTAATGTGTGCTTCACTTGGCAGATATCCAGACGAGTTTGAAAGTACCCGTGTTATTGGAGAGAGGCAATTCAGAAAAGCTGTGGATCTGTTTGAGAGAGCATCTGAACAGTTAAAAGGAAAGGTTGACTATCGCCACACTTACCTAGACTTTTCCCAGCTGGAGGTAATGCTTGCGAAAGAGGGAGGAGGTTCCGAGGTGGTTAAAACTTGTCCCGCCGCTATGGGATTCGGCTTTGCTGCAGGAACAACTGATGGACCTGGGGCATTTGATTTTAAGCAAGGAGATGATCAGGTGATTTAAGACTCTGCACTCGCTATATGTGTAGTTTTCCTATACCACGCTTGCCTGCTTTGTGTGCTTAATTTTGTCGATATGCTATATCAGGGAAACCCTTTTTGGAGGCTTGTTCGCAACTTACTTAAAACTCCGGATAAGAAACAAGTTGATTGTCAGCATCCAAAGCCCATTTTGCTAGATACTGGTGAAATGAAGCTACCCTATGATTGGGCGGTAAGTTGCAACTGTATCATAGGAGATGCACTAGTCCGATCGAGTTTTCATAAAGTTGGATTCATTCCAGAATATTAGCTTTAGATGTCCGATTAATCATTTCAATCATTTGAATCTATGGATTCCTTTGATGGCATATGCTTTTCTGTTACCCTAATCGGTCTTATTAATCAGACAGAACTATACTCATGACTCCTTTTCCATTGCTCTTATGTTCACTGATGAAATGTTTGTTTATTCTTCATCTTGCAGCCCTCAATACTTCCAATCCAGATCCTTCGGATAGGGCAGTTAGTAATTCTCAGTGTACCAGGAGGTAGTAGCTTCTATCATTTTTTATCTTCTGTTTTCACTTTGAATCGGATAGCACACTAGCATTTCTAGAGGTCACCTTCTAGCACTAGATTTCTTTGATCACTCGATGCAATAATCGGACCGGTTCTCACCATCTTTGTCTCAATCAGAATTTACGACAATGTCTGGGAGGCGCCTGCGGGATGCCGTGAAGACAGTGCTTACAAGCAGTGGTAATGGACAATTAGGTAGTAACATTCATGTTGTTATAGCAGGCTTGACTAATACATATTCTCAGTATGTTGCTACCTTGGAGGAGTACCAAGTGCAGAGATACGAGGTCAGTGTCTAATAGACGATACTCGAATATAATTACCCGGATGTTGCCGTTTATTGACTGTAAAAGGCATCCAAGTGATAAAAATTGGTTTCACTAGATTTTTATTTGCAGCTTTCCGAATAGTGTTCCATTTTGTTTGGAACTTGTAGTCTACTATTTTTGTCTACTTTATTATCAAGTGTTTTTGTTTCTTAGGGTGCATCTACACTGTATGGTCCGCACACACTCAGTGCATACATTCAGGAGTTCCAGAAGCTTGCAAGCGCTCTCATCAAAGGTCAACCAGTTGAAGTCGGTCCGCAACCTCCGGATCTTCTAAAGAAGCAAATAAGCTTACTTACTCCTGTTGTAATGGACTCAACTCCTGCTGGTATAAATTTTGGGGATGTCATCTCTGATGTTCCGGCTAACTCAACCTTCAAGACAGGCAGCAACGTGACTGTTGTCTTCTGGTCGGCTTGCCCCAGGAATGATCTCTTGACAGAAGGTACATTTACCCTAGTTGAGATGCTCCAAGCAAAGGATACATGGATTCCGTTGTACGATGACGATGACTGGTGCCTTCGCTTTAAGTGGTCGAGACCTTCACAGCTAAGTCCTCAGAGTAGGGCAACAATCGAATGGACAATCCCGTCATCTGCCTCCCCGGGAGTATACAGAATAAGACATTTTGGTGCTTCGAAAGGGCTTTCGGGATCAGTTGGGCATTTCACTGGTTCATCAAGTGCTTTCGTAGTGGCATGAGAAAATAGAAGCAAAAAAGCTATTTATACAATTATGGTATTGCAACATGGAGGCATCTTCAAAGACTAGTTATTTCTATGCTATGTGTAATGAATTGCTTTTAGGTTATAACTTCAAAGTTCAAACATGGTTGATTCTAAAAATGTTACTGTAATGCTCTGCCTCGTAGCTCATTTGATTTCCAGTGCATAAAGAACACAAGAAAATTCCTTCAAATCACATGAAAGAAAATCATAAATCGAATGAATTCTGTATGGGGCAAGCCGAAGTCAAGTAAGACAAAAGGCGCAGTCTCATTCGTTTCATCTTCAACCTTGGTTTGCAGTATATACGAGTAATTAGATTAAATATCCGTTTGATGAAGGGGGTTGGATTTTGGATTACAAATTTAGTTTGTCATAAGATTGAGTCGGGCAAGGAAGAGATAATATAGAAAAGTTCAAATTGCAAACAGACAGTGGAGATGTCTATTTAAGAATGAACAAGTTAAATCGACAAGGCCATGAATTTCCTTGTTTGTTAGTATAACGAAACTTGGTCGAGGGTGGAAGCAATACTTTTGGCCTTCTTCAATCAATGTGCCTGCCTTTGGCACGTTGCTTATGCCATTATTCTTCCATTTTGCTACATCATGATTTCCATTTTTCAAGTTTTTTTTCTTTTAATAAATGCTTTGGGGGAAAATCAGATTATAATTTTGGTCAATCTTCTTGTATAAAGAAGAGAATACCTGCAGTTGCAGAGTAACAAATGGTTTTTATTGACCCTGTCATTCCTTTCCCACGAAACAAAACTGAGGTGATCATCCAGAGTTATAATCATCATCACTTGCAGCTAAATCTCGTGTCCGCTTGGCTTAATAATCTTCTTGAAAGGCAAGAATCCGAAACCGAACAAGCAACTGAGGATATAAACATCCATGGATTAAACCATATTCATAAAGAGCAAAATGTTCAGGTTACATACAGCAGAAAAGCAAGGGACCAAGAATAAATAATCCAAACATCAGCTCAGTCAAATAACTATCCCCAGAAGTTCCTCCCAGTGATGTCAGGGAACAGCAACATCAAGCTTAACTAAATTCCCCTACTGTAAATCCTAAAACCTGATCAAAAGCAGATACAACAAGTTTATTTATGTCCTACCCACCAGGTAAACCCTAGCCTTCACAACAGAACCATTTCCTAGCTTGAACCCGGGGCTAACAGGGAATCCCACGATCTGACCTGCAGGCACTCGCCCACCTGAAATCTTGCACGCGCTTTCCATATAATGTGGATGAAACTCTGCTCCCCGACTAGCTTCAAATTGGCTGGGTGCCGGGTCGAGTGAGAATGCAAGCAAATGAAGCAACCAAATTGCCTTGGCAAGCCCCAGGAACTCCCTGTAAAACTGATTCCTGGGATGATTTCCAGTCATTACTTGGTTGCGCTGCTCCAAGTCTCCGAACAAGGATTCCTCCATCTTGGGATGAACGATGGCAAGGTACTTCTTGGAGCAGAACTTGCCGAAATTGCACGTAGGCAAGATCCCAAGAAGTTCGACCGGGTCCATTGCCTTCATGTCACGGTATTGAGTGAAACACTCCCGATGGTACTGATCGGGATTAAGCAAGGAAGAGAGGCTGCCATCCATGTAGAAAGTCTCGTGGTCGAACCCTTGGAAAATTTTGCGTGAGGCATACGACTCTAGCGCGTACTTGGCATGGTGATTTGCAATGACAGACGGAGTTATCATCGTGGTGGTATAACTGCCGGGAGTGGCGGTTGCAGCTTCAATGGATCGGACAGCTGCTGCAATATCCCAGCGAGCCTCGTGCATGAGGGAAAGGAGGAGAGACGTGAAGGACATTGATGCCTCCTTCACCTGACTCATTGTAGCCTCAAACAGCCCTGCTGTAGGTGCAGCTGCAAGTACTGCCACCAGGGACAAGCAAAAATTTCAAAACCATGGTATTCCAACCCGATTGCGAATCTCAAATATAGTATATGTTCAAGTTCAACGCTAATATAATTAATTTTTCTCAATAATTTCATGAATTTAAAATACGAATGTGAATGTTTACTTAAAAAAAAAAGGAATTTTTAATCATTGATTCAAACCTTCAAAATCCCATAATAACTTTCCAAGAAACCAACGATTTCCGGCTGAACATTAAGAAAGAATACTTTGGTTTGATTATATTTTTCTGATGACGTGGCATAATATCAGTGGTTAGCAACAATATTTCCAACTTTGTTTGAATGTTGTTGTCAAAACCACTTAATTACCAATATAACTCTATAATTCAAGGGAATATAGAAGGAAAAACAGCTTATCAGTGGTCTAAAAATGTAATTTGAAGGGAAGTACCTTGACTGCAGCTGACTTTCCTCTTGGAAAGATTCCGTCCTTTCTTACCGCCACTGGAAAGGCAAGTAACAGTGTTGAGCTTCTCTTTCAGGTTCTCGATCTCCACCTTCTTAACCTTCACTTCTTTCTTCAACTCCTCAACCGCCGCTTCGTACGGCGCCACCACCTCCCTCAGCATAATCATGTGTTCTTTCCCGCCACCACGGGTCCGCCGCCTAAACCTTTCCCTCAACACCCCAAGCTTCCTCAGCTCACCCACCACCACAACATCAGTCGCCCTCATCCTCTCTGGGTCCCACGGAGAATGCGCCTCTTGTAACCTTACGTAAGCCTTCTTCATTTCTACCACCGCCTCGAAAACCTCATCCATTAATATCACCATTTCCTTCGTTTTCTCTCCGTTATCGTAGCAAACCCTCCTTAATCTCCTCGACTTCTCCACGTTCGTCACTCCACTTTCTTTCTCTTCAACCTCGCTCGAATTATTATACTCGTAGTATTCTTCTTCATCGGGGTCCTCCTCAATAACAGCGTGAGCCGTGGCGTCAACACCGCCGGATTCTTGCCTACCGGCGGCTAGCGTGTGCAACAAACAAGAAGATGCAACTCGATGTATCAGATCGGAAAAGTTGGATACCTTGGTCGCCATTTCTCCTTTCTTCTTCGCCTTCACTGCTGACCCCTTTCTGAAACAACCAAAAATCAGATGATTCGAGTCCTTTCAAGCACATCGCAGTTGGAAACTTTCATATAAAATGAGGATGGGCAGGATAAAACGTAACGCCACCTTAGTTGTAGATAACAAAAAACAAACACCAGTAAAAGAGTTCTTTTTAGTGATATAAAAGGAGGCAGACCTGGAAAGGTGAGAATGATCAGATCTTAAAGACAATCTTGACGATGGCTGGTTCTGAAACGGATATCTGTTAAACGTGGCGGAGTACCAAAAGTCAAGGTCTTTGGCTTCAGTTTCCAGGCTATCCCGGTTGCCTTTCTTCTTCCTGCTCCCACAGCGCAAAAATTGAAGCCATTGTTAAGGCTCTTTCACTGTGTACTTGATTCACACGTGCTATTGGTCTAGATTTTATTTACCAAACATGGGGCCAGGCGAGGGAGTGCAGTCGTAGCGAGCAGGGGGAGTAGTGATGAGCAGTTGCAACTACCTTTTTTTTTTAATATAATTGCATGCAGCATGCATGTGAAGTTTGGAAGAAAAATGCATGACAACTAAGTTAAATTAAGGAGAATTTTTTTTTAAAGAATCACCTTGTGAAGTTTGGACGCATGGAACAAAGTAAGCTGCTTGGAAGCATTGTTTCCCTCGAATGCACACACTAAAACTGGAAAATCTATAGGCAAATGCAAAGGTTAAGTAATAGAAAACAAGATATCATGAAAAACAAAGGAGGCTACTGAGGCGAAAGAGAGAGATTCGAATTCGATCGATACATGGGGATATTTTATTTCTTGTAGAAGCTTTGGGTATTTAAAGACTTTGAAAAAGGTTATAGCCTATGGTACTTGAAAAAGGTTAATATAATACATTCGATAATTTATCACAATTAACACAACATAATTTAATTATGAGTTATATCGTTTCAATTTATGAAATATAAAAGTTCGTCGCTTGTTTTAATTTTTCATTATTTAATTATTAAATAAAAATGATAAATTATTCTAATTAAACAATATTATTAAATTTTTAAAAAAATACCAATTCAATAATTTATATTAATAAATTAACAACAATAGCATTTTAAGTTGATGTACGTTTACCGATAATTCGAAAAATGTCTCAGTCTTCGTAAAATAGATAGATAGAATTCATGATTATATTAAATATTATACTTAAAGAATTAACAAAGAAAAGACAGACAGAAAATTGTTGGATTTCATATGAAGCCATTCATGTAACATTTCCTGACAACATACTGTATCGTATTTTGAAATTTTTTGTGGTGTTGTCTCAATCATCGCCTACCTAATTTGGAACATTTCCTGATTGGTGTAAATTCATGCATCAATTACCAATAATAAGTGTGATTTAGTAGATGAGACACTAGATATCTTAAATAAAATCAGTGATTTTAGTTATGACGATTACAAACGATGTAAATTAGATTGAGAGGGTTATCTTTACTTTTGTAGTATTTGATCTAAATTAGTCGATTTATATATTAGATGTCAATTAATATAAAAAAAAGTTCATGCATCAATTATTATACATGTGAAACGAAAAGCTTTCCTTTATCATTGTGTATATACGCACATGAAAAATTATGTTATTGCCTTGCTCTTGTTGGTTTCTTTTATTCCTGCGTTGTGTATGAAACAGTTTATCATTTATTTTATTATTTATTTTAATGAGACATCATTTACTTTAATGCATACGGATATATTTATTCTGTTCCGTTTAATGATTTTATTTTGGAATTTGAACTAATGATGGAAGCATACATTATTATTTTCTTCAAGAAATCAACATCGATTGAGGGAATCCCTGTCAGAAAGAAACAGGACAAAGGGAAAGCAAAAAAACCATTGCTAGCTTTCGTCAAGTTGGTTTGCCTATATATTCTGATCCACGTACCGGCAACTAAAGATATTTATGCATGGTCGGGGCAGATGAGGAGCCAGGTACGTGGCTATATATATATAGCACAAAATTATGATGCTTTTCTAGTTGTCGTCACCATCCGTATATGCACGAAAACCTAGTTTACCTACATGATACCAAGGATGCTTGCTGTGCTGGTTAAAATAATCGATGTGAATTATGGGAGGAAAGCTAGAATGTATATGATTGGACGGAGCGGAAAATGATGCGCATGTACTGACAACATACCCCATTTTGAAAGAAGAAAGGCTGTGTGAATGAATTATTGAAACTTCTCATCAACTTGTCAAATCCCGGGAACTCCATGGATGGGTTGATATTTTTCTCTGGATTATTTGGAGGACTATACTCGGATCAAATATTTGAGGGAGAAACGAAACACAAATAAGAGATGAGATATTAGTGAAAACGAGGATCGTGATAATTGAAGGTAAATCATTATAGTTGTATGATACTAAAGGTGGTGTAATTTGAGAAGATAAGGGCTTTAAGATCATCAAAATCTTACTTGCACAGCCTCATCTGTTCTTGCTTTGAACTATTCCATAGGTTATATATATATATCAGATCACAAGGTTAAAACAATGCCATTCTGAGTGCAACTTAGGGACTTCCGCCAGAACTTGGTCAATATATAAGATGCAATTTTCGAACAATATATTAAAAGAGATGCAATATTCGAACAATATATATATAAAAGATGCAGTATATGTTTGGGAAAGCAGTTAATCAAAGCATAAAGGGAGAGGGAATATGGTCCAAACTCGTAACCTATCATTCCAGAATATTTCAACTTGGACTGAAGACCAAAATATAATTTAACAAAATATTGTTTAGAGTGCACAAATAATTAATCAGAGTGGCGCAGCGGAAGCGTGGTGGGCCCATAACCCACAGGTCCCAGGATCGAAACCTGGCTCTGATATCTTTTTTGCTCAACTTTTTTTTTGAATTTAACGTAGTTCACCTAATTTGGGCTCAGAGTTATTTTATTGTGAGAATAATGGGCCTCTGGTTAATTTTATATTTTATCTATTTCATACTGCCTGTAAACCCTGTTGCGATTATAGCGCTGTCACACGAGTCCGAAATGGGCCAAGTCCTTTGATCCGATAAAATTAGTGCTGACAAAAAATAAAGGATTAGAATTAAATTTTTAATTTTTTTAGATTATTTTTAAAAATTTTAAATCAAAATTTATTTTTTTAATTATATACTTATTTTATTAATGAGTTTTCAAGGTAGTTTTAAACTATTATATTTTAATATTTTAGATATATATTTTCATGAAATTAATTGTATAATTTTCTTTTTGTATCATTGAATCTAAATTCAGCTTCATAAATTCACAAAATCATTTCATTATATCATATTGATTTTCAAAATAAAAAAAAATATTATTTTAATGTAATTTTACGAGAATTGTTTCTAAATAATATGAGGGATTACATGATAATATATATTCAAAAATTTTTAATCAATTCACAACATCCATACACTCTACGGCCACACTGCAAAGATGGGAACTAATTTCATCAGGCATGAAAACTTATAGTTTGGGGAAAACACATTGAAAGAATGTTTCAAACAAACACACATTTCATTAATTAAGAAGAAATTAAAACCTAACAACACACATACGTAAATGGAACATCTTAATTAGTGATTGTTAATACGATGCTATCCCATTATTCTTTTGTTGGGAAACCACGTCAACAAAGGTTACATTTGAACATTAGTGAATTTGTTTCTCTGCTTCTTTTAAGTGATTGAACAAGCTTTTCGAGTTGCTAAATTTATATCCATAAATGTGACAAAAATCATCATAATCTTTTTTTTTTTTTTGTAGTAAAAGAACTAGAAGCTAATAAGCAATCGCTACTGCTTCTATTCGCAGTGTCCCCAATGATATTGCTAACATCCTGTTGTAGTAAGGATTGCATTTTCCTTGGCGATTGTTGTATTATCCGTAGCCCTAGGGGTTGGTGGTTTCCAAATTTAGCAATGAAATCTATAACTTTGTTCGCTTCTCTTGACGTGTGTATAACTTGTATATTCCACTCCTGGTCCAGGAGGATCATAATCCTTTTTCAAACTGATCTCATTCGTGTCGGATGCCATCACAATGAATTTGGAATAGTTTTTCATTAATTAGAAGAAGATTGATAAATGGTGTGAGTCAATGGCACATCCAGAAATATTTTTTAGTGTGGCCACATACATATTAATTATTGAAAATTTTCGTATAGGCGGACATAAATAAAATTTCAGAATGAGTACCAAAAGTAAAATGAATAACTAATATAAAGAAATTCATATTTTAGGGTGGGCACGTACCCACCCGGGCATGCATCCACCAATAGTATGAGTTGTATGTAGTGTTGAGGGTATATATAAGGAAAATTTGAGTCGTACATGCAAAATCAACATGAGTATTATGCAAAATTAGTATGAGCAAGTATCATGCATAATTAATATGAGTAAATATTTGATGCACATGCATCTGAGAAAGTGTCAGTTATCTTGTTGGCCCCTGGTTCCTATCATTTTTGAGGTATTTGGTTTTTTACTGGATTCATTTTCATTCTAAAGACCAAATAAGAAGATTGACAACTTCATAATTGATTTTGCAGGTGTTTGAAGCGAGGTTGTGCAACTGTTTGATCTATTTTACCCTTCTATCATAGTTCAATAAAGAAGCAACCATTTTTCATGGCTACTTAACTATATATTAGTATGCACATCTGAATTATATTAAATTTGAAGATAATTCATAAACAAAACTACAAACCTGCAGAAATGAATTTAGAAGTGAGGGTAAAACCAAATGATTTCATGGTTTTCTTCTCTTTTTTATTTTATAGATTTGCAAAGAGAACTACAAATTTTCTAGCATCACTCGGTTCTATAATATGCATATTTGGACTTATAATTCGATGGGATAAATGAATCTTACACGCAATGAATGACGCTGTAATATAATTACAAGTGCTATTGTAGTAGACAATGACAAAATCAAGCGCCTGATACGCATTGGCACGAAAATAATCATCAGTAAAATATATTTAACTAGGTTGACCTTCAGGAAAATCCAGAGCTGATATTGCTAAAGTTTCATTATCACCCACAAATACAGTATCACCATCGATATGATCAACCCCGTTCCTTTTTAGCAATGCTCCATTTCCATCATCCAAGATCAACTTGAAAACTTCGAATGTGATCGTAGAATGAGTATAATCATATTCTTCTGTCTCTTCAAAAGACAAATACTTATGAATAGAGTACATATTTCCCATAGATGACTTAACCAGATAAACTCGCTTTGAAAAATCATCCTATGTATAAACATTTGGTAGGAGTATCAATTTTGATGATTTTGAAGTTTCATCGTATCCAATGTCTTTAATATGGAAAGACGATAGATGGTTCCAATGTCCAATTGCATATACCAAACTTTTATGAAAAATAATATCAGCGAAACTGTATTCACTAAGTCCATCCCTATCGATGTACATCCAATCTTTATCGTCAGATTTATAAACAACTAATCACCTATAGGTGGTATAGATTACGATAACAACATAATTGTTCGGATACAACAAAGGGTCATCTGATAACACTATTTTAGGGACCGTAAACGGGTACATAACGCCATCAAAATCGTCTATAGTTTCAAGTCGAGGAAGACGGATGGTACTTAACTTTCTAAAAGGGTTTGAAAGTGTAACACTCTTAATCCGCATTCATTTCTGAATACAAGTTAAAGATGTCACGTGTTTTTGTTTAATAGTTACTGTTTAAAAGAGGGGAAAATTTTAGTTCTTTTAAAATCTCTTAATTTAACATTAATTATCAGACTATTTAACCGCATAAAATCATGATATAATATTTTAATTTCCAATTTATATCCGATTTCGCTCAATATCTAGGCAGTTTAATATTATTTCATATCATAATTTAAATTTGTCCAATTTAAAATTTAACAGATTTTTCTTTATAACATAAAATTTACTACACTCATACATAAACACTTAGTATCTTACCATATTTTCACATTGGAGCACGGTTTATGTATTTTCCTTTTTATAACACTATATATAAAATATCTATAACATATATAATCATATTTAATTAAAAAATATTTCTTTGGTTGTTGTTTACCACCACAGGACAACCCGCTGACAACAACTTTTATTATATTATCATCATTTATAGATATACATATCACTCATATGTCAATTCAAACCAATATAATTTCTTGTCTGTAAATCATTCAATGTAATTTACACAATATTTATAAAATTTTACTGTAAAATATAATAATTAGACTTGTATCGTTTCTTTTCCTATATTTATCTTTTTTCTGTACTAATCCTTTCAAAGCACTATTCTTTTTTTGTATCGTTTCTTTAACCACACTGTTCCTTTTTCTATGATTATTCCTTTAATGTATGATTTCTTTTATTATAGTATGTTTCTTATTGTATTGTATTTTTTACTGTTCTATATTTTTTACTTTTTTATGGCCCAATGTATAATCATGAGAATACATGGCACGTGAGTCTATGCTTGAGTGTTCTATGCTATGTGCAGTATAAACTGCCTGTAACTGTGTGTCACATTTCTGTCCTGTGTGCAACAGAGCTTCCTGTAATATGTGATTGTATGGTATATTTAGTGCCCTATGATTGCACCGCAGGTGCACTGTATGTACTATATGCAGCATAGTCACATGTGGTCTGTAACTGTATAACAGTGCCTTGTGATTGCATCGTAGGTGCAATGTGAATGTACAGGTACTATAGAATACAAACAACATTGTACCTATGATCCCGAATACATAAATGCATCTGGTAACTATGTTGTGCACGAATGTACCTCTGTATGTTCAATCAATAACACTCCACCTCACATACTACTGTCTCTCAAGTCTTATACATTGGACTTTTATTTGAAATCTTATATCCTTCTTCCTATAAAAATATTTATAAAAAAAATTATCAAATTCGTTTACTGTTTTAATCATGTATTCATACTTTAATTAATATATAAATTCATAATCGTATAAATATTCTGAAAATACCATTAATGTATATTCAATACTAATTGATTTTACCATAATTCAATTTGACTTTCAAATCCCTCTAAGAAACATTTATTATTACTATTCACTCAAACATCTCATATCATCTTACACTAAATTTCTATTTTAATCCCATAATTTCTCCATCTTTTCAATTTGATCATTTGTCTTGTACATATTTCTAAATTAGTCTCAAATAATACTTTAATATCATAGTCATCATTATATTTACTGCTCAAGTACTTTCATTATTCATATTTATTATGTAACCTTTAAGCTTACCATTTAAGCATTTTATATTTTGGTTCCAAACTTTAAAAAACTTACAAACTAGTCCAAAATCAATATTTTAATATTAAATCAATATTTTAATATTCGATTACAATATATTATTTAAAATATTTTGTTAATAATTATACAATTGCATTTAAGTCTTCAGTCTCTTTCCATTTTGTAATTTAAAAAGAATTTATCCTATGATTAAAAATATGATATAATAGATTTAGAATTGAATTTGGAAAGTCATTTTTGCTATCTAATCCTAAATTTAAGCATCATAAAAAAAATTCGAATATTCCAATAACATGTTTAATTTCTACCAATTAGCTTATACCAATTTCCATTTCATACCCATAACTTATACAAATTTGTAATTTAGTATTAGATCTTAACAATTTTACCTATTTAATTTCAATTCAAGCTTTAATTAACATAACCAAAATTTGCAGCATTTAATTAGAACATATTACTTCAAAGATTACTTAAGTCCTTATCTTTTTCGTGTTTATGATTTAATCCCCAAACTTTACTAATTTTCCAAATTAATCCAATGTCATATTTTTAACATTAATTCAACATTCTAACATCTAATTTCCAATATAATACTTTAACTATTAAATAATTATACTTTAATCCTCATATTTTACAAATTATGCGAATTAGTCCTATTATTTTCATAATTTTAATATTTAATCCCAATAAACATCCTAATGTCAAATTCATCATTCCAACATTCAATTTCAACATAACACATAAACTATTAAAAAATTTCACATGAATCCCCATTTTTTAAATTTATGAAATTAAGTCCCTATACTTTCAAAATTTTCCAAATTGGTCCTAATCATATTTAAGCATGTAGAATCATTCATACATCATTTCTAGACCTTGCATAATTTTTCCAAAAATTTTCTTTGTCTTCTTCCCTTAGGCCTAATTGATTAAAGTGTATTAAGCTTGATTTTCAACTTGATTCAAGCATGATTTCATCTTCCTAACAACATTTCCATGTAATTTCAATCATCTCCATAACCAAAACTAATAAAAATTTTCATTTCTTCATGAATATTAACCATGACGGAATATATATAAACATATCTAAGTTATTTTGATCATTATTTAAACTTGAAAACAACTTTATAACATTAATAACACAAACATATATCCATAATAATCAAAATACAACTTATTCATCATCCACTGTAGCAAACAAATAATATTCATATCAAATGGTAGGGAATTTGATATTGATCACTTTTCTAGTTCACAATTTATTTCAAAAATCAAAGTAAAAATGACTAAAATGAAAAAAAAACATACCTTACTCACTTTTATTTATGGTGCACGAAATTTATAGGGAGAAGGAATTTTCTTTACTTTTTTACAAAAATATCTATGTACACTTGTTAAATTCTAATTAAAATAAATTTAAATTTATTTAAGTCCAAAGTCATTTCTACTCTTAATTAATCTTGATATTTACTATTTTTCCATGATTACATCATCATATAATTATCAATATTTATTTGATTAATTTTTATCTTGGTCCTTACACTTCTAAAATTTTAATTTAGTCAATTAATTTCCACTATTCAACTTTAACAAGAAAAATCCACTTAATCCCACTATTTCATGTTAAATTCTACTGATTAAAATAATAAATATAATATTTCAACCCCTTACTATCATTCTTTAAATTTTTTGTAAATTTTCAATTCGATCTGATTATCCAAATATTTTATCGAACTTTATTGCTTACTAACTCTTTACACAAATTATATTTTAATATCGAACGGTTGAGAATTATCTATTTACCCATTAATAAAAAAGAGTTCACGTGCTTGTGCAAAGCAAGACTCATGTTGTGAGCTTGCGGCCTCAATTATACGGCGTGCCAATTTATGAATAGTAAGAATTTAATGATGTAATTTAATAAATTTAAAAGTTTTTAACATAGCTTAAATTGATGTTACGTTTAGGGACTTAAAATAAAAGTATCCAATTTGATTACAGGTTAACAAATTTAATATCAGCTATTCATTTATTTTAATAATGCCAATTTTCTTGGTCTGCGCCTGCAAAACCCAATCTCTTACCTGATTGAATTGCCGGTTTCTGGGGGGGGGACTTTGGGGACTGAACCTTCTGAGCTCTCATGGTGTTTACTTCTCACCATCTAATCTAATCCAGAGAGTTAAGAAATCGGACATGGAAAAGGCCAAGGGATGCCTGGAGCTAAACAAAGAAGAAGCAGAGAGCGTTTCACGGCTCACTATTCAACCTCACAGAGTCGACTTCGAGGGCAGCTTCTACGAAGACTTCGCCGTACGTGGCATCCGTGTAGATAGGGTGGAGCCTGGCTTCGTTTCCTGCACCTTCAAGGTCCCTCCTCGCCTCACCGTAAGCTATCCAAAATCTTCATCTCAAATTCCGTGAAATCTGGATCATATGAAATCTGGATTCATTTTGTTTGTCAATAACTTAAATCTGGCAGGATAAAACTGGAAATTTAGCTACAGGTGCTGTTGTAAATCTTGTCGATGAAGTTGGAGCGACTATTTTTCAGGTCGAAGGTCGTAGTCTTACGATGAATGTTTCAGTCGACATGTCCATCTCGTTTCTCGGAACTGCTAAGCTCAATGTAAGAGTATGTGTCTTTTAATGTTATGAGTTGCTTTCAATAATCCCACTGTATACAGATATTTGATAACCAGTTCAGTTCGTCCAAGATTATGACATGGCTATTGTTTCTTCTTCCATACATGGTTATTGGCTGTTAGAGAATTTAATTATATGTTCCTTTTTAATTCGATTCTAAATCTGATCTCGAAGGCGATTTGTAGGATGAGTTAGAGATTATCTCAAAGGTATTAGGACGAAGAGGAGGTTATGCAGGAGCAGTTGTTCTGGTTAGAAACAAAGAGACAGGGGAGTTGATCGCCGAAGGTCGCCATTCAATGTTTGCTAAACAAGGTAGCAAACTCTAGTTCCATTCCTTGTTTGTGCAAGAAAGGCCCCCATTCCACTGGTGCTTTACCGCTGCTATGTATTAAACTGCTTTCTTTCAAGTATATTAGGTGAGAAATGAGAATACTTGAACCAAACACCTCCTAAGAACTAGTTATGATTTATATGGATTTATGTTTGACGTTGTATAAATTCTATGTGACATCAATGAATAAGACTTAATCATCTATAAGCCTACTTTTAGAGACAATTCGAGACTTTCAATCTAAACCAGACAATAACTTGTGTTACAACATATGCTTTCCATTTTCTCCATGTTTCTTTGTATCTTACATTACTATGAAACATTGCCTTGAAGAGACCGTATTTCTTACATGCTAAGGGGGATATTCACTCAACGAAGAGTCCCCACTGCCCTTTTATATGTGTACCATTTTGCAATCCAGACATAAACGCCTAAATTCAACACGCTGAAAGCTGCTAAGAGCCAGAAGAAGTAATCAATGTGACCATAATTTAGGTTGTCCGGTATCCACCCTGGTTTCCTATTCTTAGCAGTCACATTACTAACAATTGTTACAAGCAAAGAGCTCAAGTAGCTGCCGAGTGCGACGGTGGTGAGTGATAAAGCAGAGCAGAAACTCCTCATCGCATCGGGTGCTTGTTCGTAGAAAAATTCCAACTGTCCGATGAATGTGAAGACCTCTGTACACCCTATGAGGAAATACTGTGGAACTTGCCAAAAGATTGTCATTGGCATTTCCTTTAGTTCATTGTAGTTATGCCTTTTGATCATTTGGAGTCTTTCTTGCACCAAAATCGCTGCTACTAACATGGAAAATATTGATATGAAGAGGCCAATTCCCATCCGCTGAAGTTGAGTAAGGCCATTCTTGTGACCAGTGAATTTTCTCGTCACCGGGACAGTGATTCTGTCATAGATTGGCACCCAAAAAATCACACTGGAGTGTCGAAGATGGAAAGTGATGCCGGTGGGATGTGGAAGTTTGGGTGACCAACACGAGTATCCATTCTTTCTCCTTGCAACACAAATAAGTTGCCCATCTGTCTGTAAACAGTAGAAAAAATGATCCCAGAGGCCCATATGGGGAGCACAGCTCCTCAACCTGTGTAACCGTGCAAAGTCTCCACAGATTTACAGAGCCCTTTAATTGGTCTGTCTCGATTTCCACTGTCGCTTTGTCGAAGAAACTGGAAGTTACAGCCAGAGAGTAAGGAACTAAAGCAACAGTCTCAATATGAAATGTAGACAATTATGATTAAAGTACAGGCACTGACCTGAGATCATTTGTATGGTCAATCTTGCGGCTTCCTTTGATATTGGATTCTTTATGTCTCATGTAAAAGAGACTTATCTGCAGGTGCTGCAACTTTAAATTTCCTGATGGATGCCACCAATACCTGAAGCAGACGTGTGAGAGGGCTGCCTCCTGGCTTTTGGTTTCGATACAATCGAGTACCTGAAAAGAAAAAGCATACTGCTATGGCCATGGCTATAGCAGGGATGCCGAAACCCCATCCCCAGCTCACATTATCTTGTACCCAAACCAGCACAGAAGCTGCAATAAGAGCACAGATGTTTATGGAAAGATAGAACCAGTTGAAGAATGAACTCTTGTGTTTCTTCTCCTTTTCGTCTGTGTCATCAAACTGATCGGCTCCATATGATGAAACACAAGGCTTGAGTCCACCTGTTCCTAAAGCTATCAGGTAAAGCGCCAAAAAGGCCATTGCGCTTTGCGTCTCTGTTGGATTGCAGTAATCTTCTGCAGAGCATCTCGGCCTCATGCCACGGACTGATGCAGACAAAGCTAAAAGCGTCATTCCCTGTGCAAAAGGTAAACTTTTCTTGTCTCACATACCTAGATATAGATTTTTTTAAGAACTTGGTAATAGCGGACTAAATACCAGGTACCAGGTGATTAAAACTTACAATGATATAGATGATTGAAAAACAGGCAATTGTCCAATATCTTCCTAGATAAGAATCAGCCAGAAATGCTCCAATCAATGGTGTAATGTAGCACGTTCCACCCCAATTCTGGTTATTAGTAGCTGCAACCGAACTATGCTGGTTTAGCCGATGCTTGAAGTAGAGCACCAGATTGGTGCTCATCCCATAGTATGCCAGTCTTTCACAGCCTTCATTTCCTGATGATAAAATAATAAAGTAAGCATCAAACGTAGATTTCCAATCACAAAATTTCAACTACCAGGTTTGGTGATTACCTATGATAAATGGGCAGGCTCTCCAGGTTCCAGTTTTCCTCTTATCAGCAGGATTTCCCTTGTAATCCACCGTCCCATCTTTTGTATAAATATCATCTTCTTCCGATTTTTCCAGAAATTTTCTAAGCCTTCTTCTTACAGGAAAACAAAGAAGTTGAGATTGAATTCTATATTATGAAGAAATCATAGTTGTAAATAGCTAACAAACTCCAGTGGATGACTTGATATATAGTCTTGTTTAGAATGTGAAAACTGTGTAAAGATCCAATTGAATCTTTGAATTTTCTTGCCCATGATGATATGAGGTGTGAAAGGCTCTAAATTTGAAGAACTCCACCAATTCGGTTTCACTAGACAACATGGTCCATATGATGGGGACATATTTGAATAATTAATAGTCTAGTGGATCTGTTCTTGGTTCAAACAAATTAATAATAATTTTCCAGCTGGAACTTAGGTTAGATAGGGGTGAACATTTGATTGAGTTGAGTCGAGTCAAAAAAATTTGGGTTATTCGAGTTGACGAGTCATATTTTACAACTTGAATTTGATTTGAAATTTTTTTGAGTCGAGTTGAGTCATTTGAGTTTCTATACTAATTTTATTATAATTGTTTATAGTATTATAGATTGCATTTGATTTATTAAATAACATTATATATATATATATATATATAAACACTTCACATTATAATGTTATTTAATATATAAATGCAATCTAAAATTATGAAATGTATTCATAATATTATATTTTTAATAAAGTATTTTAAGGTAAAATATTGATGAGAGTATAAAGAAGTCAAGGAATTGATGGGGAGAAAGAATTTTCAAACAATTGTAGTCAAAAGATTAAATTGAGTAAAATGCAAAGTTAAGGGACTAAATAAAAAGAGAGTACATTTTAATAAAAAAAAAAGTAAGAATTGAAGTTCCATAGGTATTCTATTGTGTTCTATGAGCATGTGATTCAAATTTGGTAAAAATAAACTTAAAATAAAATATTAATTGAAGAAATAAGGAAATTACAAAAAATTGAGAGATTAAATTGAAAAATAAAAAAATTGTTATGAAAAAGAGGAATTGAAATTGCATATTCATTCTACGATGGTTAGGAGCATATGATTCAAATTTGGTAAAAATAATGGACTTAAAATGAATAAGAAATTGAAGAAAAAATAATTAGGGACTAAATTGTAAAATAATTAAAATATTTAGTCAAGTATTCAATTTTTTTGAGTAACTCGAAATTTCAAAATTTCAACCCGACTTGAACTCGAAAACCGAATTGATAATTCAAGTTGACTTAAATAATTCAAAATTTAAAAAATCGATTTTTCGAATCGAGTGGAATTTTGCTCACCTTCCATCAAGATACTAAAGTTTGTAGCTTTGAGGAAAATGCTTCATCAACGAATTGTCTTCGCTCTTTTATCTTCCCTGTATGAGTTTAGAAATCCGATTCTAAAATTTTATATTAAAATACAAACTTTAAATATTATGTTTACGAAACAATTAAATTATTAAAATATAATGAGGCAACTAAATTATTAAATTCTAAATTACAGAATAATCTTCTGACCAATAATTAATCATGTCACGCATTGGATCCATTATCCATAGTTGGTTAGTTATACAAGGGTGGTTCTGTTGTAGAACTTCCCAAGCCAATTTTATTTTACTTTCTTCTGCCTGCTGCTTTCCACCCTACATTTTAATGTGTTATGTAATTCTACATTCCATCTCCCTGAACGTTTTGTTCTTCCGTCGTCAGTTTTCTTTATCGCCTTTAACTGCTAATTTCAAAATTTCCAAGCATGGGGTTTACAAAAAGAAGAAATATTATTTATGTAAAAATGTGCAGGTGGGTGTAGAGAAACACAACAAGATTGTGCTCAAACAAGCCGATTGTCACCGTCAATGGACGCTAGTTGCTAGAGAGGATGATACCATTCTCGTCAAATACAATGTCTCCATCCACTGGCAATATTCTGCTTCCCCATCATTCATCACTTTCTTAGGATGACCGGGAAGTACTCGGTCATCGCCTCGCCTTTGGTCGCACCCATTGCCGTCGGCAACGTAACCGCCACTGCTACATTACATTACTCCGAAGTAGTGAATGGTAATTTATCTATGTGCAAAAAATATAGTGTACACATAGTTGCAGGCATAAATGGTAAATTCAGCTTCGTAAGTTGAAACAAAAAGGTATTTACCTTTGTAATTGCCTACAGATGTGGCAGTATGAATTAATGAATGGGTTTGATGTAATGAAATTATAGCAAGTTGAAACCTGACAGTGGCACTTGTCCGGGTTTTTGACTTTTAGGAAAGGAGAATCTTTCCTTTAATGGAAAACAAAAAACTGTTGATGCCTTCAATTATTATTATTTTTGGATTCCATGTATTTGTTGTCGCTTTCTCCTCCCCCTGCCCATTATTATTGCTCCACTCCCATCCCTCCCCAAGGGTCAACGATTTCCAATTTATTAGAATCTATTTTTCTTTGTACTTTTTAATTAAGTATTTTGTTTATTAATTGGCTCAACTCGTTTAAAAAACCAGCCACTACTTGTATTTTATTTTTCGGTAAAAACAAAATAAGTTGACCCTATTCTCATATGTAATGGGGTGAGGGGATGTAAGATAATAGGTTGTCCCAACTCCAGGTTGAGAGCAGCTTCCGTGAAAGACCACAAGGTCAAATTGATTTTTAATACATAATTTTTTTTATTAAAAATATGTGCATAATACTTTATGCGTTATATTTTTATGTGCTTATTGTTAAAAAAATTATTAAGTAAGACGTGTTATATTCAGATTTTAAAAAAAATTAAATATTTTTTTTTAAAAATAAAATAAAAACGATAGATACTTAAAAGTAAACGGATAAAACATTAAGCATTAAACATCTATTTTTAACGTTTTTAAATATAAAAGTTCAATTTAATGTATAATTTAGATACATGAAAGTAT